CATGCTCAGTATTTAATCTTTTTGAACAAATAACACAAGTGTATCGCAGGTTAAAGTTTAAAACAATAGCAAGTTCATTAAATTTGTTCATATTAATCAATTTCGATAAGATCTTTTCAGAAATGCGGGGATACGATTGCTTTATTTCAGATACTGTAATATATAACAATCAAAATTAAATTAAATAAAGATATTATGTGAAGCAAAATTGACACTGGAGTACTAACCATATAGAGTATATATCATACAATATTACAATACAAAGTATATTATGTTAAATACAACAATACAATAGACGTAATTCATCTGTTACTGTTACTGTTAATAAGTAATTTTATTATATGTAGTATGTTTAGTACTCCAACGTTGTTGTATGTTATATTTGTACTTACTGGTATCTAATTTATTTGACGATGTTTTAATCATATTATCTAAACAATTAGAATAACTTATTTCGCCTGCCAAATTTCTAGACCACATCTTTTCCAGATAAGTGATTTTTTTATAAAACATTTGAAGATTACATTGTAAGTCGTGATCGAATATCGACTTATCTATCATGTACTTTTCATTAAATAATGATATTGTATTTTCAAGGTACAAAATGTCCTGAATAAACTTCGTGGTTATGTCCATTTTTATAAAATGACTGAATAACTTATACAACAAATACAATAAATGTTATACTTGATTTTGTCATTAGCTCGTTTCTTCCTTCTTAACCAATCAACCTCCAGCAAACAATATACCAATTCAATAATCAACCATTGACGCAAGAAAGCGCTAGAAAATTATCGAAAAATCAACCGATTTGTTGAAAACGTAGTTATTGGTTATTCGTACTGATGAACGTTAAAACCAAAACAATGAATGCTTTTTTCCTACCGTTTGTTTCTCGTTAACATGTCAACCGTTTTGACGAAACGACGAAACGACGATCCATAGATAAAAGAAGAGTATATGCTTAGTACATAGACCCATAGATAAAAGAAGACCTTATACAATACATACTTATAAATAATAATTATAATTAAAATAATTATGAAGTTGTATAAGGTCTATGACTTAGTATCATAGCTTATTTGCTTATTTATCTATGGATAATAATAAGTATATGCTTAGATCCTTGGATCTTAGATTTCCTTATGTATGGCTTAAGGTGCGTCCACACCTACATAAATGAACGTACCAAAACGAACGGCAACAGCATCGTGTGGCGGGGCCACAACAATCACGAACGAACATAAACAAACATGGCGAGCAATGTTCCGCAACTTGTCGGTACATCAAAAGGAATTGTTCGTTCATGTTTGAACTTGTATGTGCAGTGTGGACGCTACCACGATGTAGACAAACATTTTTCTTTTTTGATGTTAAAATGTGCAGTCCTGCATTAGTTTATATTGTGTTTATTATAAGATATTGCTGTTATTAACAAAATTTGTAAATTTGATGCATCTAGGTACGAGAAGTTCCATCAAATTGCCTTAAGGCGCGATGCCGTGCACCACTAGTTTTCCAGATTTATAGAATATACAAGGCCCAGTGCCTTGTATATTCCTGAATTTTGGCCCTAAGAGTAATTTAGGTTGGACATCGCTGGCTTAGATCATAGTATGGATAATAATTTGCTTATTTATCTATTCAAATAATTGTTCCTAGTAGGTTAGCAATATGTATATAAAAAGCAGATTTTATACATATATTTTGCTTCTTGTACAATTTTCAAAATAGGTTGAAGTAGTGGTAGATAATTACAAATTATTTGTTAATATTATTCAACGTTCACCAGATAGTAACCACCAAAATTAATTTAAAACAATCAATATAAAATCATTTCATTACAATATTTACATGTATTTAAAATGAAGTAACATATTACATTATAAAGCAATTTATGTATAGAATTTAATTTAAAAAGAAAGTGAAAAAAGATTTTTGGTATTGTTCCCAGTAAGCACGTGATGTTGCAGCAATATTCTATATAAATCCCTGCCAACATCCCCGCTGTGACAATAAACCAATGTGGTGTAGATGTTCGTTTAAAATTGCAATTGTGACATACCGATCGGTCGTTTTTTATGAAGGCTATCAAAAGTTATATTTATATTGAGAGAGAACCGTTACATCAAATTATTTTGTGTTTTAGAAATTTTAATAATAATTATACATTTTGTTAACATTTTTAAAGTTTATCCGTTATACTGCGGCGCGGCGCTTACGCGCTTCGGTATTTTTTCTCTGAAATAGCCGCGTAGCATTATTGCTTTGAAAAAAATTCAAAATTTTCAAAAAAATTTCGAGACAAAAAAATTTAAATTTTTCAAAAAAGTGATATTTTTTTAAAAAATCTCAAGTCTTATTTTTTCAAAATTTTTATTTAAAAATAAAATCAAATAAAAATCGAAATTACGTACTAATTATTTTGATCTCTGTTAAAATTATTTCAATTTAATAAATGTTCAAGTATAAATAAATAAAAAAAAAAAAGTATTGCCCGAAATGCTTCTACTGATGGCGCGAGGTTTGAATAGAAATGCTCAAAAATAATTTTTTATCCGCAAATATATATTTTTAATAATCTAATCATAAACAAAATATTTATCAAAAGATGCTTAGTTCTAATTCTATATGTTGTTTGGAATAAATATCAAATATTAAATGAATAACTTGTGAATTTTGTGAATTTGTTATGTGGTAACACTACTGTGGTACAGGAACAGTAGGATTATCTAGGATTAAAGATGGCCGGTTGTCAATAGAGTGTTTGTGCGTTATTTTGTTAGTAAACTTAGCATTGAAATTTTCAAAAAAATGGAAAAGTAAGTACATCATATATATTACTGTATTAATTAAACTATATTCATTTATTTAACGTTTACTTAACTTTATATTAATATTCGTATGGTATTATGAAAGATACATGAACGATACATCAAATGAAGAGGTTAGAAAAAGCACGCCGCTGTATTGTCATAGAAAAATGATACTGAAGATAGAAATCCAGTCAATTTTACAAGATCAAACACATGATGATATTTGGGATCGTTTCGTGAAGATTGATGGTTCAAAATAATGCATTCGGAGTTAATCCCACTTGTTAAATTTGTGGATGAATTATAGTCAGTAAAGATGGGGACTTGTCTTTTGAATTTGTAAGTCTCTTGTACTATATATATATATATATATATATATATATATATATATATATATAACATTTCCTAATAGATACATATTATGTCCATTCTTTTAGAAAATCTTCACATATAATGAAGTGCGATGAAACGGTAGTGAGATGAGACAAGTCATATACTTTTTCGCCCTAGGAGCAGATGACAGATCTAAGAAGTTATTTTAGTTAAGACAATATTTGAAGAGCACAATTGTAAATAGGTCAAGACTAGAGAATGATATAGGGTCAGAAATTATATCTGTTCCATGTACAGTAGAAACTCGTTTATATGGATTTCGGTTATGCAAACTACAAACCACGAGCAATTTATATATACATGCAAATATTCAACATGTACATACCTACAAGTTGAATTTTTGCATGATTAATGCTGCCGTTTAGTATATGTATGTGATGTAATCTAAGAAAATATATATGTACATTCGTAAGAAAGTGTTTCTTAATAAAACACTATGTATTTACTTGTTATTTTTAATAAATACACAACATAATTCTTAATACATTTGATTATCCGGATTTTTGTTTAGCCAAATGTCTATTGACAACAGTTAGTCCTGTAAATCGAGTTTCTACTGTATAAGTAATTCCTCAAATATGTACAAAAATTTGTTATACATAAGATTACACATCATTGTTATATATATATATATATATATATATATTAAGATTGAGTAATGTGGATCATTATATAAATATAAATTATTATTTTATTTATAATTGTAAATTAGGATTTATGTTATTTATGATTGTTTTAAAATAGAATTATCTGTAAACGTTTGTCATACCAATTTGTAATCTTTCAATAATATGTAATTATTATAAATAAATAAATGCTTTTCTAATAAATTGTCTATTATTAATTCTGTAAAAAAAATTATGCTTGCATTTATACTAAAATTGGATATTGCTAAGATGTCGTACGGTGGTCGCGAGTGAGATATCGCAATGCGATGTTGATTCAAGTGTAGAATCCATCTCAATAACACATTCGTGACTACGACGCGGCGATGTCTCATGTCGCCGGCGCGACATCAGTGCGACTATTGCACTGATGTCGCGTGCTTACTGGGTTATTTATATTTTTCAACATTTTCTATCCGTATTAAAAAAAAAAAATTACTCTTTTATTCGAATATATGCAGAATTTTATGATTATATACAAAATGTTGGCGTATTCAAAGAAATTCAAAGGATTTAACACATAGTATATCGAAAAATAATTTAGCTGCTCCAAAATTTATGTGTCCGCATTTATAAAAGAAAAGCGAAAATCATTAAAGCACACAAGAATTATTTTCCAAAACAATTAATATCTAATATTTCTTATTTTGTTAAAGCATTCAAAAGGAAGTCAATTCTCGTAATATATATATTCAATTATTAAATAGAAAATACGTCTAAATATAATATAAATTTATTTAACCAAAAAAACTTGCTAAGGTGACTACAATAATATAATGACACTAGATAATCAAATTATATATAACAACAAGAAAAATACATTAATTATTGTACTTATCTTTGTATATTTTTTTTGTTCTCAAAACTGTTCAATATAAATTAATTTATAATTATTCTGATGCCATGTTGGTAAATAATTAAATATGTATCAATATCGAACAAAAATTCTTGATATATGCATATGTATATTTTCAATGTACTACGTGTTAAATCCTTCGAATTTGTTTTATGCCAACAGTTTGTATATAAAAATAAATATTATATCATGTAATTCTGTTCTATATTGTCTATGAATTTTGTATGCATTTATAAAACTTTTTCAATTTGTATTTTTTTGCTATGAGCTTTATATTTCTCCTATGCATCTTTTGCGATCTTGAATATGTTGAGATGATTTAAAATGAAGAAGTATATCACATTTCTTATTTGAAATTTCACAATCACATAATATACAGTAAACAGTTTTTGTTGTAGAAGGAAATAAAAAATCTATGTTTTGGTGGAATACATTGTCCTTGTCATTTTCCATTATTTGGGTAATTTGATTTAAAAAAGGTTTAAGCAGCTTTGTGAATTCATTATTCTCTGAATATTTTTTATGTCTTGATCCATTTATATGTCCTAAAATATTTTTATCATTTTTGCTCATTTGAACTATACACAACAAACAATTGGCGACAGAAGATGTGCTATAAATTGATAAACTATTTATTTCAGTTAAAGTATAACTACACTTCTTCTTAGGCTGGATATTGTTGATTGTGGTTTTCAATTTAACTTCATTTTTACTGTCATTACCTAAATCATTATTTTCATCTTGTTTCAAATCATTTTTTTTATGCTGAACTTCCTGTACTCCCTCCCTTTTAAATTCACTTTTAATTTCTAAATTACTTTTGATAATATCTCTTTCATTTTCTGAACAATTCCATTGATTTTCAGAGTCATTTCCCTTTTTTACAATATCATTCATTTCGAGTTTAGATTTGGATGTAAGATGTTCATGTTGATTAATGATTTTCAATGAACCAAATAATTTTATATGGCACTTTGGACAATCCTTGTGAAGAAACTTGCTATAAAAATAAGTCTATTTATTTTTTTCTACACTATTTTATGACTGATAAAAATATACTTACCGGTCAGTATGACCCATCTTTTTTATATGACTTTTGAATGTTTTACTTTTTAAAAAAGCCAAGTTACAAACAAGACAGATTAATAGATCACTTGATTTTAATAAAGGAGTTATTTGCTGTTTTCCCGAATGCTTTTTACCAGATATATGAGAAGTACAATTTGATTTGTGTAATAACGTAGAACACTGGAGGCAATAGTAGTAGATGTTACAGATTCTGTAAATCAAATATATATATATATATATATATATATATATATATATATATATATATATTTTGTAGAGTTTCGAACAAGAATCCAAAAATAATACAAAATAAAAAACAAGAAAAGTTTTTAAAAAAACAATTTCTTTATTTAATTATTTGTTTATTGTCGACGTTTCGGAACTAGGTACGTTCCATCTTCAGGACATCTGTCAAGAAACATACGTTTTTGCAATTAATTCATTATTTAAGAAAAATCTATTTTCTTTTCCTAAACATATTGTTTGCTAAAATCTCATCAAGATCATGTTTCTTGACAGATGTCCTGAAGATGGAACGTACCTAGTTCCGAAACGTCGACAATAAACAAATAATTAAATAAAGAAATTGTTTTTTTAAAAACTTTTCTTGTTTTTTATTTTGTATTATTTTGGATTCTTGTTCGAAACTCTACAAAATATACACAAATCCAAGACTCTACCATTCAATATATATATATATATATATATATATATATATATATATATTTAAATAGAAAAAGAGAGTGGAAGAATATATCACTTTCATCAAAATATATTTGAAAATATTCAAAAATGTGTTCCTTTTTCAACTTTCTGAAAGTGTTTTATTTATCATGGAACGTTTTGTCAGAAAATCTGACTTGCTATATTTTATTGTAAAATGTTTGAGACCTTTGGGTCTAATTGTATAAAAACCTATGTTATTTAGAATAGAAAGTAAACATCATTAGAAAGTGAAAATCAAATCTCAAAAATAATCAATTTGCAACATGTTAATGATGATGTTAATAATGATGGTATAAGATTTGCATAATAGTAACGAAACATGTAGTTCTATGAACCATAAAACTATAAAGTTGTCAATGAGTAGTTATTTAGATCTAAAAGTAGTTATTTAGTTCTAAAAGTTAACTCGAGTTAACTTACTGAATCAAGTTATCCTTTGGAATTATTCTGGAAATAAATTTACTTTATTCTTAGAAACAATTTTACTGCCATTAATAGCAGGTTTGGATTGTGCATGAGATGTCAAAACTGCATTTTCCACTGTGACATTGCTTTTAATTTGCTCTTCTTGCTGTATTTGAGATGAAGACAATTCAGTAAAACAAATTTTAGCTTGTGGAAATGCTAACTGATTTTCATCCAATTCTGGAACGTTGATAGTGTTTTTATTTAAAGGAAAACTTTGAAATTCATCTGCCGTGTTTGTAAGATTATTCCGATTCAGTTTGTCTGTCATAAGTGTTTTGTAAGCAGCTGTAGACACATAAGTAATCACTTATATAATATTCTATACAAGGAACAAGTAAGCCATCTTTTACAGTTCTACTTAAATATAGTATGTTTAGTACTCCAAGGTTGTTGTATGTTATGTTTATACTTACTGGTCTCTAATTTATTTGACGATGTTTCATTTATATTATCTAAACAATTAGAATAACTTAATTCGCCTGCCAAAACTCTAGACCACATCCTTTCCAGAGATAAGTGATTTTTTTACAAAACATTTGAAGATTACACTGTAACTCATGATTGAATATCGACTTATCTATGATGTACTTTTCATTAAATAATGAGATTGTATTTTCTAAGCAGAAAATGTCCTGAATGAACTTCGTGGTTATATCCATATTTATAAAATGACTGAATAACTAATACATTAAATGTTATAATTAATTTTGTCATTAGCTCGTTTTTTTATCCTTGACCAATAAACCACCACTGTATACAATAGATACAATTTCAAGTCCAACTGAACAACACATATTATAAAAGTATAAAATACTAGGTCATCTACAGGGTCATCTACTGCTAACATATGAACGTTTTATTTTGTCTTTTAGTTCGTATTTTTCTTGCTACCCAATCAACCGTTGAAACTAGAAAACTTTTGAAAAGTCACCCGATTTGTTGAAAACATTGGAGAAAAAATGTGCTTTGACATATGGTTTTGTGACTTGTTCCATAACAGAACCAAACTGATGTCTACTACTCTACTGCTACTGTTACTGTTTGCTTAAATCGTTCGTTGGTCTATTATCATGCATAGATAAAACTGATATGATCCGTTTGTCGTGACTCGCCGTCCCACGTGACCCGTTGTCGTTAATAACCGATTCGATAACGAAAACGTCGAGCGTTACATAGGGACCCGAAGAGTTAACACTTACGGGACGGTACCGATTTCAAAACAATTTACTGCACCGGCTGTAAACTTGATTGCATGGGGTATGTTATGCATTTTGTTTGATAAAAATTTGTGGTCATTGAAGGACATACATTTATAATATTAATTAACTTCCCGTAGGGTAAGTTATAGTAATCGCAAAAAAATCGAAAATGAAAATTTTTATATATCTTTATGTTTCAGAGGTTTCTGAATATTTTGGCATACCTTAGAAAAAATTGATGTATGTGTGTGTGTGTGTGTGTGTGTGTGTATGTGTGTGTGCGTAGTATGTATGTGTGTGCGGATACAAATTTTCGTCGACGATTTTGGGAACACGGATGAAGCAATTTGAATAATTTAAAAAACATTCGATCCGTATTGATAAGGAGACGTGCTGATTAGTTTTTGCGGAGGTAGGTCTAGCCGTTCCCAAGATATGGGGCAAAAAGTGCCAAAAACGGTACCTCAGTTTTTAATAGAACGGAGGGTCCGATTTTAATAATTCAAAAAACATTTTACTTGTATTGACAAGATGAAGATTTCATCAAATTTTTATAAGGGCAGGTTAAGCGGTTTCGGAGATCTAACGAAAAAAGTAAAATAAAATGCCATTTGGCGGTCAAAAATGATCATTAGACATATGCACATCAAATTATCAGATATTTTATAGAGATTTTAACAATAAGTATAAATTTTGTTTACATTCCTATGGGTTCCATACCAATGTTTACCCGTTAGACAGCGACGCGGCGCTTACGCGCTTTATATTTTGTCTCTATGCATTTAAAGCAGTACGATTGCTTTGAAAAAAAGTTCAGATCTTCCAACATATGTCAAAACTAGCTGTAAGTGGAATTCTGTCTTAAGGCAATTAGGGCATCGTGCCTTAAGGCAAATTGGGAACTTCCCGTACCAAAAATTATTATTTTTTTAACGATTAACATTTTTGAAAAAATTTTACTTAAAAAAAATAGATTTTTGAGAAACTATAAAATTGACAAAAAATTACTTTTTTTTGAAAAAAAAAAAATTTATTTGAAAAAAAAAAATTTTTTTTTTGAGAAAAAAAATTTTTTTTGAAAACAAAAAAATTTTTTTAAAAAAAATGTTTTCTTCATTTTGACATATTTTGGAAATTTTGAACTTTTTTTCAAAGCAATCGCACTGCTTGAACTGCATAGAGACGAAATGTCAAAGCTCGCAAGTGCCGCGCCGCCGTCTAACGCATAAGCATTGGTACGGAACCCATAGAAATGTAAAAAAAAAATATACTTATTGTTAAAATCTCTATAAAATATCTGATAATTTGATGTTCATATGTCTAATGATCATTTTTAACCGCCCAATGGCATTTTTATTTACTTTTTTCATTAGATCTCCGAAACCGCTAGACCTGCCTCCATGAAAATTTGATCAATTATACATCTTGTCAATACAAGTAAAATGTTTTTTGAATTATTCAAATCGGACGCTCCGTCTCTTAAAAACGAAGGTACCGTTTTTGGCACTTTTTGCCCCGTATCTTCGGAACGGCTAGACCTGCCTTCGCCAAAAACTAATCAGCACGTCTCCTTATCAATACGAATCGAATGTTTTTTGAATTATTCAAATCGGTTCATCCGTGTTCCCGAAATCGTCGACGAAAATTTGTATCCGCACATACATACACACACGTACATACATACACACACACATACACACACACATACACACACACACACATACATCCATTTTTTTCTAAGGTATGCCAAAATGTTCAGAAACCTCTGAAACGTAAAGATATATAAAAATTTTCATTTTCGATTTTTTTGCGATTACTATAACTTGCCCTACGGGAAGTTAATAAAAAAAACATTTTTTTTCAAAAAAAGGATTTAAAAAAAAAATTTTTAAATAATTTTTTTTTTTCAAAAAAAAGTAATTTTTTGTCAAATTTATAGTTTCTCAAAAATCTTATTTTTTCGAAGTAATTTTTTTTCAAAAATGTTAATAGTTTTTAAAAAAAATAATAATTTTTGGTACGGAAAGTTCCAGCAATTTGCCTTAAGGCACAATGCTCTAGTTGCCTTAAGACAGAATTCCACTTACAGCTAATTTATTTTTGATCATTTTATAAAGAATAGTGACGTTCAGAACAATTTTCCAAAATGCATAGCTGGTTGATTTTGACATGTTTTACAATAAAATAATTACTGTCGGTTACGGTGCTTTTCTGTCAGAACAGACAATACAATCCCTTTTATTCTTTCTCTCGCATTTAGAATATGCCACTGATTAGTCAGTATATTTGTTCATTTTTGTGCTGCCATAATGGTTTGTTTTTTCTATCATATTGTCTAATAATTCATTTGTAAAATATAAAGTAAAATAATCTATTGGATGTCTTATATTGCTTGGTATTTGTAGTCGGGGTGTTTGTTGATGTATGTCAAACTGCGCACGATTAACCGATTTGAATGGTTCGAATATCATTCGATTCCTATCGATAGGTAGATGTGCTGATTATTTTTTGGTTAAGGCAGGTCCAGCCGTTACGGAGATACGGAGCAGAGTGTAGAAAATACAAATCGAGTTTTTGAGAGAACGGAGTATCCGATTTGACTGATCTAAAAACATTCAATTTGTATAATGACAGGGCGAGAGGTGATTAGTTCTTGGCAAAGGCAGGTCCAATCATTTCGAAGATACAGAGTGTACATGTGCAAAAAATGGCAGTTTTTGAGAGAACTAAGCGTCCGATTTGAATGATACCTAAAACTTTTTGCTTGTTTTTGGGGAAAAAAATTTCCATTTTAATTTTTTTTTTCAAAAAAAAGTTTTCTTTGTATATCCAATGTAATTCTGATTTTAATTTTAATTCTGTTCTCGAACATTTCGTTACGGTACGAAAAAGTTCCAGCAATTTGCCTTACGATGCCGTACACCACTAGTTTTGTTTTGTTTATAACACCATGCTAAATGAAAGTTTAACGAGTGGTGAATAGCATGTGCATGGGCATCGTGTTTTAAGATAAATTAGAGGAATTTTTAAAAACTTTAAAACTTTGAAAAAATTCGATTTGTTTGAGAATTTCAATTTTGATTTTTATTGAAAAAATTCGGCTATTCTAAATTATAGAATTTTTTGAAAATTTTGAAACTCATTTAGGTGGATGGGCTCGCCCGTAGGTAAGCGGTTAAGAGCGACGGGACCTGAATCAGAGGTCTCGGGTTCGATACCCACTTCGAACAGCCTGTTGTCAGGCAGCAGTGACAACGATTTTCACTTGGAAATATAGATAGTAATATGTTTCCAAGTGAAAATAGCCCTTGTCCGGATTGCTGCACCAATAAAAAGTCAGCCCTATTAGATTAATTCTAATAACAAAATCATCAAATATGGATGATGGATTAACCATTGGGTTATCATCTAAAAAAATACGAAGTAAAGAGAAGTTTCAGCCCAACAGCTCATAGGATGTAAGGTTCTGATTGCTGTTTAAAAAAAAATAATAAAAAGAAAAATAATAAAAAAATAAAAGAAAAAAAATTAGGTGGATTGATCCATGTACTGTCGGAAATGTCGAAAACATTTGTTTCTTTATTCTAGTCTTCATTTGTTAAACATTATAAATTTTGGTACGGAACCCAAAGAAATGTAAAGAAAATTTGTACTTATTATTAAAATTTCTGTAAAATATCTAATAACCTGATTTGCATATGTCTGATGATCATTTTTTGCCGTCAAATTGCATTCTTTTACTTTTCTTTAGATCAACGAAACCTGCTGTATCAGCCTTCCAAAAAATTAATCAATTCTTCATTCCATCAATATAAGTGAAATGTGTTTGAATCTTTCAAATCGGACTTTCGGTTTCTCAAAATTGAATTTCAATTTTTGCATTATT